AATACATGTTTCTGAAACATAAAGAAATGTACCTTATTTTTCCTGCTTTTGTGAATTTAACATTAATAAATATATTGAAACATCACGTACCTGGTTGTATTATATATAATATGCCATATTTGTCATTTTGTAAACTGATGGGCTTTATTGCCCAAAGTTATATCCTGAATAAACTTATAGTCGTTTGTCATGAAAATGACCAAACTAAATATTCATGTAGGAATTAAAATTCCTCACGATGATTTAATTTTTGACTCAATATCAAAATGAACACATCGGACCATTTCAACTAATTATTTAAGTTTAAAAAGATATTAGGATATATTTGAAATTGGAAAACAGAAGTTAAAATTGCACAAAAAATTACGAATTTTCGTGCTTTTAATTCTTTGTTTGTCGTTTGCTGATATTGATTTTAAAACGTCACTATGCATGTCATTGAAGAGAACAAGGAGAGTTGTTTCTTTCAACAGAATATTGACTTTGATAAACAAATATGCGAGAAATCATTTTATTCAATAAAGGAAAAATGAGTTAGAGAATCAAAACTAGAGCAAAGCTCGTTGCCAAGCAACGAGTAAGTCTTCCTGTTTGACGAGTAGTAACTTTTATTAAAAAAGAGAGAGAAAAAAAAATGACGTCTCTAATGATTTAAATCTTCCAAATCTATGTTGAAAATTGCAAAAGTAAGCCATTTTTGCTACTTCCTGTTTAACCGGAAGTGACATCGACGGACGGAAAATTCAGTTTTATGCTTCCAGTGACAAATATTTCCCCTAAAAATGTCAAAAAAGGCAAAAATATGCAGTTTTGAACTATTGGCCGGGAGTAACGTCACAGGACGTATTTTGATGACATCAGTAGATTTTACCAGAGATTTTCAACAACTTTGCTTCTTAGATGTACATGTATAACAAATTCTCAATACTTTTTGAGATATCTGGAAAAAACTTTTGGCCCCTCTAGATCCCTAAATTTAGGGGTCAGCCCTTTTTCCGAGGTATCATTTGAAAGATCTTTTAATTCTGCACAAATTATGTTCTATATATTTTAACTAAATATTTTTTGTTTAGAAGATAAAAGGCAAAATATGAGTAATTCTTGGCTCTTTTAAGCGTTCTAATTTTTGACCCCTATATAGCGCCACTTTGAATAGAGAAATCGAAAAACAAAAACCGATGTGCACATCTTCAATCCTTCTATTACTGTAAACCAACTTTTATTCGCGACGACTTTATTTCGCGATTTACCGGAGGTAAACTAGTTTGCGACGATTATCTTTCGCGATCAAGCCTATTTAGGTTCTCTTGTTAATAGACATATAGACTTTAAGAACTGGTTCGCGGCGAGAAATATTCGCGATAACGAGGCTCTCGCGAACTTCGCGAAAATTTCTCGCACGCGAATAAAAGTTGGTTTACAGTATCTAAAATCAGTAGAATTTCTGCTCCAGCTTTAGCCGTCTCTGAGCCTTTGTCTGGAAACGAAAGCCTATAAATTTTCGTTTAAAAAGAAATAACTCAAAACCGGAAGTAACTTTTTGAAATTTTAGACAGCATTGTGATAGAGTTTAGTAACTTCTAGTACCTCTGAAAATTTGAGCGGAATCAATTGAGAAATGAGTGAGATATGAGGCTTCATAGTTGGTGTCTAGGAAGTAGAAGAAAAAAAAAGAATAATAATCTTTACCAACAGAATCAGTAGAAGGTCTTCCGTTTCCAACGGAAGACCTTAATAAAGTACCTATACACAATTAACATGCATTTTAATTTCAGTCATCTACTTTCAATAAGTAAAGCATTGGGAAAAGGGTTTAAAAATCATCTTAAAGAAAGTCGCTTGTTCTATATATTGTACGATTTAGAAATTCGATTATTTGTCTGTACACTTATACTTTTTTGAACGATTTAAAATCTGACAACAGAATCTTCCATATCTGACAACATAAAACACTGTTCTTGTGATAACAGCTATTATGTTCGATTGCAAAGGGACTTCAATTTATGAAGAAGCATAGGAATCTGTCGAATTTTTCTCTTAAAATAAGTTATATTAATATCATTTTCCATCTTCGTCCCTTTCTGTTCTCCGTATTGTATCAGAATTATATATTTATTTGTACATGATCACTGAATTTGAGCTTTTATAATGCATTATATTCAAAATTTTGAAAGGATTTACCTAAATTCATGTAAAACCCAGGTTTGACTGAATGTCAATTATTCTCTGGGAACATTTTCTTATATTTTCAATGTATATTTAACATATGTTCCTTTCCAAGTGCTTTGCAGACTGGTCAATGTTGATTGTTCAGTTTGTGTGTTATTACAGAGTATAATGAACAAACATGATTTTCATTACTTTTATTGTAAAAAGAATGACAATGCGATTCCATCATGCCAGATTTGAAAAAAAAAAGTCAGACCAATTCTGTGCACAAGAATGTATTTTTCAACATATACTCAAAGTGACTCAAAATATTGCACTACAAATCTTAGTTTTAAAAATCTTGTTTTCAGTAAATAGAGGTAAATAGAAAACAATAAAGCAACATCATTCTGAAATTTCTACATAAAAGTTGTAAAAACATATCTATGTTGTACTATTATCACTTGTAAATGTACAAAATGATATTTGAAATCTTAATGTTGAACACATCTCCACTCTGAATGTTAAAACTTCCAAGAAAACTGAAGCAAACCTACTGTTCTACTGCCAAATCCACTTCTGATAAAATATGTTTTCTGTTCACTTAACTACAGTTTCAAAAGTATATTTTCATTTGTAGAAATTTTTGACGAAAAAATAATGAGGCTAATAGCTCTTTTGTAATGAAGATACATAAGGTGTATTTTGAAAATGGAAGAGTCTGTGATTCACCGGAAATTTGATTGCTTTGACAGAGATAGAATAAGGACAGAATCATCTACAACATTATGTTAACATGAATGGACTCCATACTTTACATTTAAAAAATGTCAGCTGGCAACCTCTACAAGTAAAATACATGTATTCGTGGGAACATATTACTAATAAGGGGATATGAAACACATACAAAAAACTGCAGAAGGTACAACAGAGATCAATTTTTATATCTGTTACAACAGACAAAATCTAAAATCAGAAAAAAAATCTCCCACTTCTGTATTCTTGTTCTACATATAAGAAAACAATACATGTTGGTATTGAAAATCAGAATACAATGGGTCATCTCAGTCAAATCACTCATTGACCCATTCGGTCCAGGTAATTTGACCCCTGTTACTGATAGTGTAATATATCTTTCCTTTACACGTTATGCAAGTCAGTGACTTATTAATGCAGCACACATCACTGAAAAAAAGTATATGAGGATAAATTATTTACAATGGAATTTTTTTCTCCATGGAAATAGCAATCAGTACTTCTATTACATATATAGGAATGCTGCAAGACTAGCTCAGAATTTAGATAGATATGTCAAAGTTTCTATGTAACTGTGGAACTATACCTATATAAAGGGGAAAAAACAGATCAGGCAGGTAGAAAAAAACAACAGAGTCAAAAATGTACAATTTTTGGATGTCAAGGAATTCCGTGTGACAAGCCTTCTAATTGCAATGAAAACTACATGTTTAACATGAAACACATACTAATATATGGCAAGACATTATAATCCAAATAAAAATGGATTTATACATTATGTCCATTACATCTTCTTTAAACAGTACAAATGTTGGAGAGAAGAAAGTATATATTTTATCCATGACAAATAAGTGTTTCATTTTTGTTTGTAAAAAACTGCATCAAACATGTGCTTCCATGATAAGTCAATATCTATATTACCTCTACACCCTTTGGCATATTATTGAGCACAACTACATAGAGTAATTACTTTAACATTATTTCCATCGTAACATCATTTTTTATCATGACATCACTTCAATCATAACATTATTCCAATTATGACATCATTTTCATTATGACATCATATCCATTTCAAAATCTAAACAACCAGAAAATTTGAATCTGGTACTTCCCAGCTTCAATTTATATAAAAAAGAACAACTACAATATGTAAATATATATATAATTGTATATAAATATATCTAAATGTAAATGTCACATGCAGTGAACAAAGAAATAGTGAATGTGTACAAATATAAAAATTTACAACCATCACGATGTAATTATGACACATAATCTCTCCCTCTGTTTAATGACTTCCAAAAAGCATTACAACAAATCATCATTCGTCAGTCTATGAGCATCAATATCATTAAAAAAAAACAAACGCAAATACTAAGACTTTGTGGAACTGTACAAACACATGATCGACAGCTGATAGGTTAGCATCATACAAAGAGAAGGCTTTCTCTCTGAAAATGTTATAACTCTCACCATTCTTGGGTCTGTGAATGGAGGGATACCTGAAAATTCAATGACTCTGATTGGTCAGTATTATCCAACAGTTCACTTTCTCATTGGTCAGCTGAACAGAGTGATTCAATCATCTGATTGGCTGAACAGTTAAAATGTACTTGGTACCCTGCCTACTTCATCAATCAAATGTAACCCTCCAACCCAACCACCCCAGCCACTGGAAAATCACATTATCCACAACCATCATTTTTAAGTTACATTCTGTTTCTACATTCTGTTTCGTTCTCTAACTTGGGACTGTTGAACTTTCTTATGAATTTATCAAAATGTAGTGACCGTATAAAGAAATCTAATCAAGATTCTCTAGTAAAAAACTCTAGAAAAGTGCAACTTTGGCACTTTGTGGTTACAACCTGAGAGATTATCAGATATAAGAGGGGACATTTCACCAATACTAATACATGTGTATCACTTGTGTATGACGTTATTAGATCCACAGTGCTCTTGATAATATCCTCAGGATGCTCGGATGTCAGGAAAAAGCTCAAGTACTACCCCTGATCACTGTAGTCAACTCTTCATAGGTTATTTTAAAAAACAATGATAAGTGCATGTATGAATTTTTAGATGAAAAGCATGTAACATCACTATATATATAAAAACATCCCCATGGAACAACAGAGTAAGAACAGTTGGATGTTAACAAACAACACCGCAGGTGGTAAGTTGATTTTAAAAACACCGAGGATACACTAACATACAGAAATGCTGTCATGACTCCCTGGGTCAAAAGGTCAATCAACCGAGGAAGAATCCGCGGGGTCGGGGTTCGTTTATGGGCATGGTCTGTAGGACCTCGTCTAGAAGCTGTAGCGGTCGGTGCAGCTGTACCTCGATCCAGCATGGAGTCTCCTTTATACTGTGTCGGGGGTAGTCCGGTCCCCAGCCCTTCACAAAGCTCAGACGTAATATACACAGTCTTCTCAGATCGTCCACCCCGATCCCTGCTGCGGCACTCAGGCCTGTCAAATATAACACATACATCAATATAGGAACCTTTTAATTTTAACAAATGAAATAAGCCTTTGATTTCATAAAAGAGACTAAGGCCAAAACAAAAAATAGTCTTGTTTCCTGCTACCCGACCTACCCTATTTTTTGCATCCGACCCTAAAGTTTTTTTAAGTTTTGGAAAAAATCAATTGAGAATTTCAGGAATTTCATGTTCAAAAAGTGAAGAAAAAAATATAATTAGGTGGTATTTCATGAAACTGTATGTAAAGATGTGATAATATCTAATTTTAAAATATAATCTTGACCCATGACATATGTTTTATTTGGTTTTGTATTAGTTTATATTCAAAAATTACCACTGGAAAAAATAAAATAAAAAAATTAAAAAAATTTTCCTATCTACCTACCCTATTTTTTTTTCAGGCTGGTAGCAGGACACAAAACTATTATTTTTTTTGGCCTATGATGTAAGTCAAATTTTCAATTGCCTTTCAGAGGATTTTTATTTTCCAATGAAACTTTACATAACATTGGTGAACAATTGGTTTGTGACAAGAAAAATTCGCAAATAAAAAGGTCGTGATACTCATCCACATTTCTTTGCCATGAAGAAAGGTTTGATTTCAGTAAAGGTTTGATTTCAGTAAAGGTTTGATTTCAGTAAGGGTTGTTTTTCGGATGTCCTTAGACACTCACCGACAGCTGGAGCGATGCCGCCTACAGATGCGGGTCCCGGGACGTTTCCTGCCACCGCGGCGGCCTGAGCTGCTGCTGCCGCCTGAGCCGTGGCAGCCTGCTCCTGCATCTGTCGATGACACTGACGTATGTCAAACACCTACAAAACAAACGCAGAGATGATCATCTGTCTGTGACACTAACGTATGTCAAACACCTACAAAACAAACGCAGAGATGATCATCTGTCTGTGACACTGACGTATGTCAAACACCTACAAAACAAACGCAGAGATGATCATCTGTCTGTGACACTGACATATGTCAAACACCTACAAAACAAACGCAGAGATGATCATCTGTCTGTGACACTGACGTATGTCAAACACCTACAAAACAAACGCAGAGATGATCATCTGTCTGTATCACCAGGGACCTATATATTAACGGGATAGGCAACTACCGCAAGTCTCGCGATATCTCGTAAGTCGCGGGATTTCGTAAGTCAACTTTAATTAACTATATTTCTAACGCTATCGCCTATTTGAGATCAAATCCTTTAAACATCTGTCAAAAAATCATCCAAGATTTGTTTTTAGCATATATTATACTCCTTATCTTAGTAGTAATTTTGTTTTATGCAAAATCAGCACATGCCCCGATCCGCCATATTTCCGTAAATATATATATAATTTTTCTATATAAAATTATATTATTATTATGCTTTAAAATTTTTCAATAAATCAATTCCAATATATAAAAGGAATAAATGATAATAATCAGAAAACACCCTGTTTACTGGGAATAAAAGTAAATTGAAAAACTTGTAGTGTCTTGCGTGATGTTTTGGGTAAATAAACATGGCGATGAAGGAGTTGCCTATCCCGTTAGTATATAGGTCCCTGGTGACACTGACGTATGTCAAACACCTACAAAACAAACGCAGAGATGATCATCTGTCTGTGACACTGACGTATGTCAAACACCTACAAAACAAACGCAGAGATGATCATCTGTCTGTGACACTGACGTATGTCAAACACCTACAAAACAAACGCAGAGATGATCTCTGTCTGTATCACCAGGGACCTATATACTAACGGGATAGGCAACTACCACAAGTCTCGCGATATCTCGTAAGTTGCGGGATTTCGTAAGTCAACTTTAATTAACTATATTTCTAACGCTATCGCCTATTTGAGATCAAATCCTTTAAACATCTGTCAAAAAATCATCCAAGATTTGTTTTTAGCATATATTATACTCCTTATCTTAGTAGTAATTTTGTTTTATGCAAAATCAGCACATGCCCCGATCCGCCATATTTCCGAGAAATCGCCGATTTCGGTGTTTGTTTTTCTTATATTAAAATTATATTATTATTATGCTTTAAAATTTTTCAATAAATCAATTCCAATATATAAAAGGAATAAATGATAATAATCAGAAAACACCCTGTTTACTGGGAATAAAAGTAAATTGAAAAACTTGTAGTGTCTTGCGTGATGTTTTGGGTAAATAAACATGGCGATGAAGGAGTTGCCTATCCCGTTAGTATATAGGTCCCTGGTGACACTGACGTATGTCAAACACCTACAAAACAAACGCAGAGATGATCATCTGTCTGTGACACTGACGTATGTCAAACACCTACAAAACAAACGCAGAGATGATCATCTGTCTGTGACACTGACGTATGTCAAACACCTACAAAACAAACGCAGAGATGATCATCTGTCTGTGACACTGACGTATGTCAAACACCTACAAAACAAACGCAGAGATGATCATCTGTCTGTGACACTGACGTATGTCAAACACCTATATATAACAAACGCAGAGATGATCATCTGTCTGTGACACTGACGTATGTCAAACACCTACAAAACAAACGCAGAGATGATCATCTGTCTGTGACACTGACGTATGTCAAACACCTACAAAACAAACGCAGAGATGATCATCTGTCTGTGACACTGACGTATGTCAAACACCTACATACCAACAATAAATAACAGAGTTAAGAGCTGGGGTAAGCTTCTCAAATCATAATTCAATACTTAATGATAGCTGATATAATGCCTCATCTTTATATAAGCACAAGCATAGATTTTGTAAATAACTCACTCTTATATAAGGGCTGGGGTAGATTTAATAACTCACTGTTATATAAGACCTTGGGTAGATTTTATCATTACCTTTATATAAGCGCTGCGGTAGATTTTATAACTGACCTGTATATAAGCCCTGGGGTAGATTTAATAACTGACCTTTATATAAGCGCTGGGGTAGATTTTATAATGTACCTTTAAATAAGCGATGGGGTAGATTTTAATTCGCACCTTTATATACATGTAAGCGCTGGGGTAGATTTTTATAATAAATAACATATAGTTATTCCAGTTGACGCCATTTTATCTAACAAGAGGCCCACGGGCCTTATAGGTCACCTGAGTATCATGCAACAACTTTCCAGTGATTGTATTTGGTTCATGTTTTAATCCAAAAGCCATGAAATTCACAAATTTGGAAAGAGGCACCATTGCTTAACAAAGGGCAGATTTCAAAGCATTAATTTATTTTTAGTTAAAGTACCCCCCTGGTACCTCTGACCCAGCGTCCCTGAAATTATCTATTTTGAAAGAGGCCCCTTTCTTCATTACAAGGCCAGCATCTTTTTTTTATGTTTAGGTTTAGTTATGAACATGAGAATAAAAATGTTCTGAATGAGAGAAAATAATTTTTTTTTTGTTAAATCAATTATTATTATTTGTACATTCTTTTTTTTATACCATTCTGATAGGCTTTTTACCACTGGACACATAATGCTTACAAATATGAAAGTAGAACATTGCTTATTTCATCATCTGCCAGTTTGGGCCAGTTATATAAATTTTGTGATGTTGCCAATATGTATGTAAAAAAATCAATTCTTTAAATGTCTTTCAATATATCTTCATTTTTTGATATGTGTTAGGTGAATGTGTAGGCATTGTTCTAAAATTTACTTGATGCCTAAAATTATAATATTATAATTCCCATCATAAAACAGACAGGGAGTATTAGGGAGTAGGGTGAACATTTTTTCAATTAAGTGTGAAATAATTTAACTGGCTGATGCAAATGATACTTCATGCCTGTATATATTTGTATATTTTTGCCTTTTAATAGTTGAATTTTTTCTTTATTTCTTCAGGTTATCTGGTTATTGTTTATTTCTTCCTCAAATGGATTCAAATTCTCCCATAGTTTTATTCATTACATATGATGCATAAGCAATTAACCCTTTTCTGAAGAATGATGCTTAGACTGTAAGCTATAACAGAGATCTAAACAATGTCGCTGACAATATGCAATAGCTACCACTGGCAGTTTAAAACCTGGGGGAGGAAAATAATTTACAGAGAAATACTTTTGAAACTAACACATAATTATCTCACCGGCATGTCATTGTGCAACAAAGTCGTCAGCATTTTATTTGTCCTTTGAACGGGTGAAACGTTTTGAATGGCACTGGAATCGATGAATTTTACACTTAACCAAGCTATCTTCTCAGATAGATCTAGCATTATTTACCCGCCGTTTCATCTTAAAACCGGAAGTGCGACTTTGTAAATTTGAAATCTCGATCCCGACTCAAATTTGACATCGGATAGAAAAAATTGATTTATTTTTTCTGAAAATTCTAAACCTTGAGCGGAGGGTTTATAAAACTGAAAATAAAATAAATCCTGGCCTTAAGTATGTAATTAGATCATTAGCATATTAACCAGGAGCAAAGGATAAGATGTTCAAAGAATTCATGCATTTCACTATATAATCATAAGAGCCCCACCCTAAAACAAGAACCCCTGACCCTGGGGCCATAAAATTCACAATTTTGGTAGAGGCAATCTTGCTCATCATAACTATGTACTTAGTTAGTTTATTTAATACCCAGGAGCAGAGAAGAAGATTTTCAAAGAAATAATGTATTTTCACTATATAATCAATAGAGCCTCGCCCTAACACCAGAACCCTTGACCCTGGGGCCATAAAATTCACAATTTTGGTAGAGGCACTCTTGCTCATCATAACTATGTACTTAGTTGGTTTATTTAATACCCAGGAGCAGAGAAGAAGATTTTCAAAGAAATAATGCATTTTCACTACCTATTATTTAGCCCCGCCCTAACACTTAATAACCCCAGGGCCATGAATTTACAATTTTGGTAGAGTACTCATTGCTGATTACAATCATGCAAACAGATTGACTGCTTGATGTCCAGGAGTAAAGAAGAAGATTTTTAAAGATTGCATTAATTTTAGTGGTTTTGGCCCCACCCCTCAGGCCCCAGGGGGGCAGGGATCATGAAATTCACAATTTTTGTTCCCCTTCACCCATACATGCTTTGTGCCAAATATGGTTAAAATTGGTTCAGTGGTTTCAGAGAAGAAGCTGAAAATGTTCAAATGTTAACACACGACGCACGACGACGGACGAAAACAGATAGCAATAGGTCACCTGAGTTTACTCAGGTGACCTAAAAATAGTAACTACCGGAAGGCATACAGTGGCCAACTTCAGCATTTTTGTTCGAATTTGTTATGTGAAGTAAACATTGATATGAAAGTGAATACACTGGATGTTTGCAATGTCAATTGGAAGTAACTGATTAAGTAACAGGAAGTTTTTCTAATATATTATTTCACTTTAAGTACATAAAAATCATTTCATAAAGATACTTTGAAGGAAATATACTTTCAGTGAATAGTATAGCATTTGTGAAATTTTTCATACATTCATTTAAGATCTGGAGAAGAGTTAGATTAAGTACTTTCTAGCAATTTTTAACACAATGTAATGATTTTTTCATGAATAAACTTACTCTCTAGAGATTTGCTCAAATTCCCACGATATTTTTTTTTAATTTGTCTTCATCAGGATCGGAGACATTGTGATTTATGTAGAATGAAGCGTTACAAGTTCATAAAGGGGAGTAAATTTAGAACATTTTTGACTTATAATAATATAATTCCTATTCTTTTTTAATTGAATATTATTTAAAGCTTGAAAATCAGTCATTTGGATCTTTGTTTTATTTCAATCACGATAGAGATTCATCTTGAAGTTGTCTTTCTTGATTAGCTCTCCTGGGTAGTAGAACTTGTCATTGTTTGGGTATTTTGGGGGCATAAATATTGACTTTATTCCGTGTAATTTAATAAAAAGGATGCTTATCCCTTTCATCTTGTAGACTCTACTGCTCAGAAACCAGAAATTTAATGTTGAAATTTTTCTTGTAATAATTAGGTGGAATAGCTATGACGTACATTTATATAGGCGCTGGATAGATTTTATAAATAACATACCTTTATATAAGTGCTGGGGTAGATTTTATAAAGTACCTTTATATAAGCCCTAGGGGAGATTTTTATAACGTACCTTCATATAAGGCCAGATAAAATTAATCTTTAGATTCTCATCCTAATTTGCTAAAAAATTGGGGCGGGTGGGCGGATTTTATTTTTTATTTTTTTATAATTGTTAATTTGTAAGTATCAACAAAACATGAACCCTTCGTACAAATTTTTTATTAAGTTAATGCCAATATGAATAGAGTTTATTCTTTTCGTATTCTTTTAAATATTTAAAGAAGATTCTTGCTTTAAAAAAATTAAATATTTATTGTTAATTTACAAATTATCAAGCACACAAATACGGCACACGCCAAACAAAATGAGGTGGGGATACCAATAAATTGTGTATGCATGACTTCTCATCAGCCTTTCCCCAAATCCCTTTTAGTTGTACCAACAAATCCCCATTTTCAAAAAGGTCATAATTTGCAAATCTATAAAATATAATCACACACAGCAGGAAATTGTTTAAACTTGACCAGGTGTCATTTTCCTCATCTATTTTTACCAAGTTAAAATCTCTCTAAAAACTTGCTCATGCCAGTGATGGTATCTAGATGTGTTTATGCTCTTTTTTCTTCTCTGCCTTCTCTACACTGATAAAATATCTTTTCCTTACATATTTAAACTGCTTTTATTGCCGATTTTTTGCCATTCTTCACATGGCTCTTTTGCTATAAATAGCGATATGTGACTTTTAATACAAAGGGGAGATAACTCTTAAACTTTGACCAAAATTCTTGCTGAATAAAAATACATGAAAATACTTTTAAAACCCAAAAAATCAAAATAAAAAACACCGGGCGGGACACTTTGAGAGGGGCAGGCGGGGATGAGAATCTAAAGAATAATTTTATCTTGCCTAAGCCCTGGGATAGAATTTATCTCACCTTTCTATAGGCGCTGGGGTAGCTCACCTTTATATAAGCGCTAGAGTAGATTATAACGTACCTTTATATAGCGCTGGGGTAGATCTTTTAACTCACCTTTATATAAACCCTGGGGTAGATTTTATGACGTACCTTTATATAGGCGCTGGAGTAGATTATAACTCACAAACGTACCTTTCTATAAGCCCTGGGTTAGATTTTATGACATACCTTTATATAAATGCTAGGATAGATTTTATCTCACCTTTATATGGGCCCTGGAGTAGATTTTATAGCTGACCTGTGTATAGGCCCTGGGGTAGACTTTATATCGTACCTTTTATAGGCCCTGGGGTAGACTTTATCATACCTTTACATAGGCACTGGGGTAGACTTTATATCGTACCTTTATATAGGCGCTGGGGTAGACTTTATATCGTACCTTTATATAGGCGCTGGGGTAGACTTTATATCGTACCTTTATATAGGCGCTCCTTTATATAGGCGCTGGGGTAGACTTTATATCGTACCTTTATATAGGCACTGGGGTAGACTTTATATCGTACCTTTATATAGGCGCTGGGTTAGACTTTATATCGTACCTTTATATAGGCGCTGGGGTAGACTTTATATCGTACCTTTATATAGGCGCTGGGGTAGACTTTATATCGTACCTTTATATAGGCGCTGGGGTAGATTTTGTGGACTGCATCCCCCGGCTGTCTCCCTGCCTCTCTGTCGAGGTAGTAGGACTGGACAAACACGCTGTGATCACTAACACATCTAATCCACACATCCCCCTCCCCATTGTAGTCCAGCTGCACGCCTTTACCAATGTGTAACCTGTCAATGTAATTACCGTATACTCCCTATTAACCGCCCCTGCCCCTTTAAGCGCCCCCTTACGTCTTTTTCAATTGTCAGGAAATAAGGGCCCCCTGTACAGTGATTAAAATTATCTACAGAGACTAGAATCGTATCAAAAGTCTGCAAAAATTTGAAGGAATTGAAAATGAAACTTGTTAATTATCCAATTTCTTGGTAAATGGAAAATTATTCATTTAGCATACTTTGGGTGTATTATCTTCATTTAAAGTAAAGTTAGACATTATTTTGGAGATTCTTTGAATTTTTTTTCAAAATATTTTTTGAAGTTAAAATATGATATTAAATATTACAAAGAGAATACCAAAATAACCACCCCCTTATCGTATAGCTTATACATATCAATAGTGTAGTCCAGCTGTACGTCCTTATCATGTGTTAACTGTCAAATAATGTAATTACACCTTTTACATACTTATACACAGACCAATCATGAACTGATATCAAAATTCATGTTCTAATAGCAGATTATATCTAGTCTAAGTTATGAGTACTTGATATATAAATCTCACGTCAATTCAGCATTTGAATTACAGTATTTCTTAATAATCTTTATCTGGTGTTACCGAGTTCTATTCTGTAACTTATGCTGATTTAATATAACTAGGTGACGTAAATCTTTCTGACTGATCTCTAGGCTGTCGCTCCCCCTAGTTACCTGGCTTTGTCGCTGGTTTCCGTGCGGTGGACATTAGACAGCTGACCCAGACAGAACCGGTCTAGACTGGACGGGTCGGTATAACCGTCCACGGTCACTCGAGCGTAACTGTACGGCACCTTAAACGTCTCGCCAACCTGCTGGTCCAGCTCAAAGTACGTAATGGTACACCAAAACTCAGGGGCTGGAAAAGAAACGAGACAGAATTAACAACAAAGAATTCACCAAAACTGAAAAATTAATAAAAAAGATACAACTGAAAACAAGGTTACTAATGTAGAAGACAGAATGTTAACTTGATAGCCTGAAAGCTCTGAGAATTTTTTTACCCCCTTTTAAATCTAGAGGACATAGTTATTACATAAGCAAATTTTGAAAGATTGGATATGCTTCAAACAAAGAACACTGGTCAGTGCATTCTATAATAACTGGATGTCTGTTGACCTGCAATTTGGCAGAGGGACACTTCCCTTAGAACAGAAATGGTCAATCAATGGGTGAAAAGGCCAAAACAAAATGATGTGTTTCAGAAACAATGATTTCCCCTCCCCCCTCCCCTCCCTTAGAACAGAAATGGTCAATCAATGGGTGAAAAGGCCAAAACAAAATGATGTGTTTCAGAAACAATGATTTCCCCTCCCCCCTCCCCCCTCCCCTCCCTTAGAACAGAAATGGTCAATCAATGGGTGAAAAGGCCAAAACAAAATGATGTGTTTCAGAAACAATGATTTCCCCCCCCCCCTCCCCTCCCTTAGAACAGAAATGGTCAATCAATGGGTGAAAAAGCCAAAACAAAATGATGCGTTTCAGAAACAATGATTTCCCCTCCCCTCTCTCCTACCTGACAGCTCAGTGCCAAAGTTAAAGTTTCTCAGAACACAAATCAATCTCTATGGTCAAGAGGTTAAAAAATGTCAGTACTAAATTGAAGGTCTTGTAAAAAAGAAAACATGTGAAATAAGAAAACCCAAAATTCAACACTTCAAAACTTGTGACCAATATTAAAGGTTTGAGTTACAGTCCCCTATGGATTTCCCTTCACAGTGTGCAAAAAAAAAGCCCAGAGCAAATAACACTAACTATCTTGTATTTGGCAAATTGACGGAGATAAAGATTTTTTCCCCAACTATTACTCGATCTGCTAACGTGCTATCTGACAGAATGGCGTCCTCTTGTCCTCTTCCTCGTCCATTAGTTGACTTACATTCTCCCCATTAACTGATTACTTACAAATTAATCTTATTTATACTAGAAGTAAAACAACTGTCTTACATTTTAAATTACCAAGCAAAACAGGTGTGTTATATAATTACTTCACACATTTTAAATGTCAGCTATGGTAAACAGTGAAATAAAATAACTCTCGTGATAATGAAGAATTAACTGCTTTGTCAGTCCCCATTGTCATGTATTCCCAATTTATTGGCTAACAAGTTTGTCATTATCGCAACTGTATTACAAAAATTTGCTTAATGTAGAAGTACTTTTTTCCGTGTGGTATTAATTTACACTATGTACACGGTCACAAATATCCTGCGGAAATCCATCCATGTGTTCTTGAGAATATATGTAAGTCATATCGTGACAGTCTAAGAAATCCTTGCAATTTTCTACACATGGATTAAACAGAAATGGAGATTCCGCGGAATTATGACCCCGTGGAAAAAAGTATGTCTACAGTATTTCTGATATATTGTACTGATATATTGTACACAGGGTTACTAACTGTATAATTAACTAAAGCAGGCTTTGGGATGGACAAAGATGCCCTAATTCACGAGTACCGATAAGAAAACATTTACTAATGCAATACAAGGTGTATAGTGTGTAGCGCTTATTCATAAATACGCCAACCACTTGATACCAAGTGATTGCAGTTACATTTCATTATTGGCAAAATAAACTATTTGAATAAATTCTAAAATACACGGTACTGTAAAATCATATATTTTCCAGGTTTGAGTATAAAATATGGTTTTGTGGGGGGTTGATTTCGTGGTTGGAGAATGTTAAGCAGTAATGCATGTGAAATTTTCCATTTTGTGGTCGTCATATTTGTGGGTCTCTCCATGCTTTGAAAATGACGAAAATTACCACTCCAAAAAATTAATGATTTCACAGTAATGACTTACGGTTTTGGTTGGTAAGGGGAGGTAAGGACTGCACATCAGATGACTGCATGTGATTGTTGTTCCCTGAAATAAAAAAAAAAATCAGAGCATCGGCTCACTGTAATACAGTATCAATATAATATAAATGTTAGGGTTGATCTAAAGCACTGTGAAGAAATTTGACCTTTAATCTACAGAATTACATAGTTTTGAAGAATTTGACCTTTATCTATAAAATTGTGAAGAATTTGACCCTTTATCTATAGAATTGTGAAGAATTTGGTAGATCTTATGATTTTATTGAACCTTTATCTATAGAATTGTTGAATTCTGATTTTTTTGGCCTGAGAAACTGACCTTATCAGAATTGTGAAGAAGAATTTGACCTATGACCTACAGAATTGAGGATCCTGTGAAGAGGTATATGTTGCTGTGTTATTTCCCACCCATGTCGCTGTAGCGGCCATAGAACCTGAAAAAAAAATATAAAATTTTAAACTGAAATCATATCCCTCAGAATAAAACAGACAAGCTGATTGGTCTAGAGCATGTCACTTGCAGAGAGACAATTCGCTATGTCTCCCTCAAGTGCAGAGTGAAATCTGTGGTGTCTTCCTTCAGATGAAAACAAGAGTAGAAGCAAGCATTTAGGTTGACAATTGTGTTGTCTTCCTTTAGATGAAATTAGAATGCCTTGCACAAAATGACTCATCTAATTTAGGGATATAAATGATACTGTACCATAAAATCAACAAAAAGAACCTCTCATAAAACTACGAAATTCCGGAAAATTGACTTACTGCGTGGGGGAAATGCGCTGATGTTGGATAATGTCGGTGATTGTGAGACGTGAGAGGACACCTGAGCCCCGAATCCCTCCCCCATCGGCGAGGGCAGACCGTGAGACATGGCAGTGGCTGCTGCTGACAATACAAAAATGATCATATCAACGACACATTTCTGTGATGATTTAAAGTATTTATATCAATGAAGCATTTCTACAATGATATTAATTTGATGCAATTCTATGATGATATAAAAGTAACACAATGCATGTCTATGATGTGATGTTCCTCTGTGATGGTCCTCTCACAGAGTACTGTACATATATCAGATATAATCAACAACAGATGTTTAGCTCAGATATAATACTGTATACAGGGTTCTTTTTGCCCCATGTTATTTTCCCCTTTCACACTTGCAAACAATTTTGCCCCTTTCAAATTAGTCCAGTCACAGTTTTGTTTAAGAAATTATACATGTAAATGTACAGGTGACTCTCGATGGCTCGAACTCCGATCTCTCGAAGTGAATCTACGGTCCCGTTTTTTTCCTCTATATAACTAAGCAAATTTACTCCTGATCTCTCGAACTTCTATCTCTCGAACCAAAACCTGGGTCCCGTTACACATATTTCATTGAATTTTACTCTCTTTCTCTCGAAGTTTTGATTGTGCGTGTATACAAGCCGATCAAGCCTAAAATTGAGCCTGGACTTACCTAGAAAAACAGTGAACGCCTGGGGCTGGAATGGTGGTGTTAATTGGGTGTATAGATAGATGACACTACACCTGTGGGTCGTCCGTGTATTGATATAATTAATTTGGTTATTATTGGTAAATTATAAATAAATTTAGAACTTATTTTGACTTTAAACCGAGATGATAATTCAAAAAAAAAAAATTATAGATGTTCGTTTCAATAACTTCCCACAGACTATGAACTTTTATTAGAGTCTACATAATCCCAGTATGGCAAATATTGCACAATAAATTCCTTTCTCAAGGACTGAATACTGATTAAGAAAAATCTGTTGAACACTGGTGAGTGACCCGATCAAGCCTCGGAATAGCCAAACCAACAATTGCTTGTATTCGGGTTTCATGTTGTAAGAATAAATAAATATTGAAACTTCAGAGATTCGTTTTATTTATCGAAATACGATCATTGTTGTTGATATCAAGTATATTACCTGTTAAATACGATTGAAAACGTGCAATATCTTTATTTACATATACTACCGGTATTTATAATAGTAGAACATCGATGATCGGAACGGAAAATTCCGGATTTTATTAACTTTCTATCTCTCGAACCCCTCGATCTCTCGAACTTTTCTTGGGGTCCCTGGAACTTTGAGAGATCGAGAGTCACCTGTATTGTGTTTTTTGAATTTGCACCATTTTAAATTCGCCCATCTGTAAGTAGGGCGAAAATAAAATGGTGGCGAAAATTTCCCTGTATACAGTACTTCCTAAACATCAGATATCAACTTTAATGGATGCTACTCTACAATATAAACTAAGTACTGCCTAGAAATAACTTTAAAAGTTATACATACAACAGTACCCGCATTGTTATTCTTTACAAATCTATCGTGTCCTATCGTGCGTGTATCCTATCATATCGTGCGTGTATCCTATCATATAGTGTTTTCCGTTTATCGTGTTTTGCGTTTTCTATCGTGTTTTCCGTTTCTCGTGTTTTGCGTTTACGTGTACACCGTTTATCAGGTTCTATCGTGTTTCGTGTTTTGCGTTTATTGTGTATATTCGGAAATCCTCGCTTTTTACCTTTACTACAGGAAGAAACTACCGAAGTATTCTGAGTTTCTTTTTCGTTTTGTTAACTAAATTAAGATTATTTTAACCAAGAAAGAGAAAAGATAGTTTAATTCCTTAGTTTTTCATCATTAAAAGAAATATTAAAGCGTGGAAGGAAAACAATAAATATATAAATAATATAATCAATAAATTAAACTATTAATTAATAAATTAAATTAAGAAAATAATCGTATCATAGAAAAGCAGAGAATCAAAATTAATTTTTGAAAATGAAATAATCTATTCCATTTTTTTTTTTTATTCATGGAATTGAGTCACTAGAGGATGATTTTCGGTAAGTCACGGAAAATCTTAATAATAATTAGCAGAGGATTTATATGTATCTTTTTTAAATACAATATTCATTTTCCCCCGATCAATCGTCTGGTAGTAGAAGGAATGTGTTTTCGCCTCTGATCTGCATGTATGCACACTTATTTAAAATCTTGCTTTAAAAAAAAATAATAACGAAGCATTTAAGACATTGATCCAGATAACTTTAACACAGATTTTCTCCGTATAGGTACAATTTTTTGAATTCATTTTTATCACTATTTAATTAGTTAAATTTCTTAATATGTCTAAATTTAAAAAAAGAATTACTGTAAATCACTAAATTTTCGCGACACCTTATTTTCGCGAGATATTCATTGACTCTTGATGAGCGAGACAAAATTTTCACGAATTGGGGTAATTGCTCTATATTATCATAAGGAATACTATTATACGCGAGAATTTAATTTTCGCGAGCACACTGTCTCGCGTAATAACGCGAAAATAAAGTTCTCGCGAATAAAAAGTGATTTACAGTATATCAAAATTATAAAATGTAATGCATGAAAATGCTCTACCCGATTTATCACACCATGCATGGCAGCTACTATAAAATAGAAGTTTTACATTAATTTTATCTGGCATTTGATTGATAATCTAAAAATAATAAACAGAAAAAAAACATGATGACTTTGAACAACTTACCTTTTCGGCGTGGAAATAAACTAAAATATAATGCACCTGCTTTTTAAATCGAAGAGCTTTCCCTACCATAAAGCTGACACGTATGTGTACCTATCTAATCAGCACACTGCTTTCCTGTGCGGTCAACGCCCCTTCCCCTTCTTCCTTAGCCCCCTAAATGACACCTCAGCCCGCGTGTTCACCGTCAACATATCTGAACTGCTCTCTCACCTTGTGTCAAACAGTATCTATTTTCAGGATTGTGTTCACACTTTGCGTGAACTACATGTACAATCATATTAACAGATTTTTTTTTCTAAATCAATTAAATAATTGTACAACTTATGGATTTGAAAAATCATTTCCTTGCTTGAATTTATATAAATAATCACATAAATCAATTTAATGAAACAAAGTCCCTTAACTCAATCCGCCGATTTATTTTATCTGTACGATGTTTCCATAACTTTATGTAAATAAGTCTTTTAATGAAATTAAAAAAAAATATTGCACTTATGATACATGAACTTTTGGATCATCAGTTTTTCTTACGGATCACCCGGTTTTCATTGGGTAACAGACAGAATTAATTCTAGGAAACAATTTCTTTGATCGTAGAAAAGATTGAAATAATTCTAACATTTTAAACTATGAAAATTTGCTCGCATTATTTTTTCTACGGTATTTTATTATAATAATAAAAAAAGAAGCCTGATTCCGCCGTGACCATGCAAGACGAGTAAAATTTAATGTTTTTATTGC